GGTGCTCCACCTTATCAAGCATGAGTCGAGGAGGCACAAAAGTCAATTCAAAGACAAATGAAAAATGATATTTGGTCACTCAAAATCATCCTCAAGAATAACTCAATCCCTTATCTAGGTGAGGGAGAGGCCATGGTCATAGGAGATAAAGAATGGAGATCTAAACAATCAAGACCACACAAGGTAGACCCCATAAAATTGATCCAATTGCAAAATTAAAATAAAATAGAAAAATAAGATAAACACATAAATAAAAAAATATATAAAATTAAGTAACATCTTGAAATAATTGAAAAAAAATTATGGAATTTTTTTTATAGTTAAAGGTATTTTTAATAATAGAAAATGAAAATAGAAAAGAAAATAAAAATAAAATAAGTTGAACAAACAAAGGGGGTGCAAAAGCAACAAACCAAATGAACTGCAGCTAAGCAAAATGCACGCTGGGCCAAATATCATAGGGGTGTGAAGAGCAATCTGAGCCCAACTTAACACACGGATTCAAACTTAAGTGAAACGCATCGTTTCACTTAAGTGGTGTGGAGTCAAACGTCCAGCCACGCACGGTCAAGCCAGTGAAAACATGACAAACAAGCAGGTCAACAAGTCAAGGGGTGGGTGAGTCGGCTTCACCAGAAAAATAACCAGACGTCGGAGCTAGGGCTCCGGTCGTCTTCTCCGGCGAGTCTGCCGGAGTTCAGAGGAAAAACCTCCATAAAAATGGAGAATTCTTGTACCAAACAAAAGCTGAGCTCACAAGAGACACGAATCATACCTCTAAATCTCAAAAAGATCCAACACTAGAAGGAATCGAAGACATGAAAATTTGATAGCACACTATGAAATATCAACATACATGTAAACCAATGAGTCAAACATTGCCTACCATGGGTAGGGGTTCAGATGCAACCCAACATGACCCTATTTGGTGCCTAGAATTAGAGAAAAAGTTGGAAGAAGCTTACCAAACGGAGTAGTTCCATTGACTCTTCTAATGCATGCAAGCTTTGATCTCTTGCTTCCAATTTGATCCTTAAGGTCTTGTGAAGAAGAAATGAGCAACAATTTGAGTTGATTTTCAAAGTTATGGCAGATTCAAATGAGTGAAGATTTGTGAAAATTTTGAGCTCTCTCTCTTCTCTCCAACAACTACCACCAATTCTGAGCTTCTAGGGAGAACCTTTAGCTCTTATATAAGGGCTTAGTGATGATCATGCAGGCCCATGTTGGTTGCATTATTTGTTTTCAAAATTTGCTTTCTAAACTTCCACTTTACCACACCCACGATTTCAACATCATTCTCCATCCTTTTGGTCATCAAATGGCCCATTAAGAGGTGTGGAAATGAATGACATTTATTTTAATTATGTAGTAACTCTTTACACCAAGTTTTGAACCATGACTTTTTAAGGTATAAATTTGAAAATATGGCATACAAATTGTACTCATGCTTTTCCAATTGTGGTAAATCTCTTTGTGTCATATAAAGGTATAAAACAACTCAAAAATGGAGCAAGAGATGACTTGTAATGTAAGGTATGCAAACCATGACCAAAAATTCAATTTTCCACCTTAAAATGGTCCATATGGCCACATAATTCAACAATTCTCATGAACTTTGAGCTCAATTATGGAAATGAGACTCTTAGGCACAAGTTTCATGTTGGTTGGAATTGCATTTGAGGTCCATAAGTTCATGAAAAAGACCATTGAAACAAATGACCTATAATGAACTTTCCAAAAATGCCCTTGCCTTGTGAGGTCCATAACTTGATATGTACACATGATATAAAGGACTTATATGACTTTTTGGAAAGCTAAGATCACGAGGAACAACTTTCATGTTCACTTGAAGTTAAGGAGAAACTTGATTCTAGGTCAAAAATGCCTTGGAAGTGGGTTGACTACAAGTTGACCAAAATTCTCTTCATCTGAGGATCCTAACTTGTTGGCATCATAACTTGAGATGTAAAAACTCAATGGATGAGTTCTTGTACTCAAAAGAAAGCTTGAAGGATGTTATACAAGTCTTATGTTTTCATGAAAATTAGATTAAGCTTGCATCATAGGGAAAAATGTCCTTGAAGTTGGGCACTAAAGAAGGGGATTTTACACTGAAATCATCTGAAACCCTAAATTAGTAACTTCTTGAACCCTTGATTCCTCTTGATTAGTAACTTCTGACTGAGCCCTTTGCAGATGAATTGAATGACTACGCAAGCTCCACAATTACCCATAGGGTAATCAATGAGCTTGTAGATCATGTCTTCTCCAAGATAAAGACGTCATAAATCCCTGATGATCCCCAAGATAGGAGATAACATCCCCACACCAATCTCTCCTTTCAAAGAGCTTTGAACCTTCCATGGTGATGATAAACACTTGATGGCTTACACAAATACCCTGGCTAGAGCTTGAAGCCAATAAGACTCTCCTCTTGAATGGCACAACAACTCTTGATCCCATGCTAAGAACAATGATATACAAATGCAAATGCTAAAAAAGAAATGAAAAAAATAAGTCAAGTACAAGAAAAGGTTGGTCAAATTTTGGGGTACAACAACCGCAGCGTAAGATATTATCATGTCAAAACTATGTATTAAAAAAGGAAAAATAAAATAGTGATGATTAGAAATAATGATGGGCAGTAGATTAAGGATGAGGAACAAGTTTGTCAGCTTTTCAGGGATCATTATAAAAAGTTGTTTGCCATTGATTGGAATGTCGTAGGAGACAACTCGATATACTTTCCCCTGTATTGATCAATGTACTCTGGAAAAGCTGGGAAAAAGCCTAACTGATGCTAAAATAAAACATGCAGCATTTGGAATGTCACCATGGAAAGCACCAGGTCTTGATGGCTTTCCTGCAGAATTTTTTCAAAATTCTTGGAGTATAGTTGGAGGATACGTCTGTGATCATGTTAAAGAGATATGGGAAAACCCTAGTAAAATTTCTGAAATCAATAAAACTGATATATGCCTTATTGCTAAAACTAACCAACCTGAATTAGTGACTCAATTCAGGCCAATATCTTTGTGTAATGTCAGTTACATAATTCTTAGTAAGGTTTTGGTGGAACGTCTCAAGAAATGCATGCATACGCTTGTGTCACCTTATCAATCTGGATTTGTCCCAGGGAGGAGCATTCAAGAAAACATCATTGTGGCTCAAAAGCTTGTTCATAGCATGATGAAAACGAAAAGCAAAAGGGGATGGTTTGCTATCGAGGTGGATCTTTCAAAAGCTTACGACAAACTACGGTGGGATTTTATATGGAGGATCCTTGATGAGATTAACATGCCCGTGAAAATGATAAATCTTATCATGCATGGGGTCACGAGTTTGGAGACAAATATTAAGTAGAATGGAATTCAATCTGATTTTTTTAGCACGAGTAGAGGAATTCTCCAAGAAGATCCCATGTTTCCCTACTTATTCGTGATTTGTATGGACAAACTATCACACATTATCATGCAAGAAGTAGAGGATGGAGAGTGGAAGACTATTAAGGAGGTCAAGCAAGGGCCATTAGTGTCACATCTTATGTTCATTGATGATTGATCTTATTTGGAGAATCAATGGCTAAGCAGATGCAATGTGTGATAAAAAGTTTAAATAAGTTCTGTAACCATCGAGGGAGCAAGTGAGTCATGATCCGCGGTCGCTCGCGGATCAAAAACGAGTTATTTTGTAAAAATGCAGTACATCGACGGTAACTCGGAATATCTTTCTCAAGGATTCTTGTAGAAATAATAAATTACAGTAACGAAATAGGGGGGTCGATTTTGATTTTGATTTTGATTTTAGAAAATAAATGATTATTAAAATAAGTTGTTGCGAAATAAGTGATTATGAAATAAGTTAATCTGTTGATTGTTCTCCCACTTATCATTGATCATACAATTCTCAAGCCCTAAACGGATTCCATTCCCATTCAATTACAGTAACAATTAATAAGCGTGATTGCAACTAATATATGATTTATGTTCCTAAATCTGAATTAAGCAAACATAAAGTGCAAACACGAATTAAGCAAACACAGTTACGATTAACAAAACATATATCAATCGAATTAATCCAATCCTATTTTATAAAATATGCAATTGAATTAAGCAAAAAATGACAAATAAATTAAGCATTCAGAATTATAGATGAAATTGAAAAGGGAATCGAAATTACTTGAAAATTGTATTAACCTCAAAGTTTAACGGAGACACGGTTACAGCAGATCAACCCGAAAAGGTTAGTTCTCCATGAGTTTTACAAGCGTGCAATTTTCTTTTCGTGAATAGTGAATAATATACAGTAAAAATGAGGTTCCTCCTAAAAATAAAAACAAGGGATCCGGTTCATAACCCAACTGGGTCAAAAACATAACCCAGGCCCAAAACATGACCCAGAACTAAAAGAAATTCCTAATGTTGTAGCTTCAACGAATATTCTGCGAAAATGTGCTCCGAATCTGACTTCGACTCCAAGATGAAAGTCGCAGCTCTCTCTCTTAGCTTTCCGTCGATTATTAGAACACCTCAAATGGATTCCCGGAACTCTAGTTATGATCGTTTCCGTGCAGACTGCTAAAGCTGAAAAATAAAGTGCGAAAATCAAATTAATCCAAAAATAAAATAAAATATAAAAACATAATAAAACATAAGAATAATCAAAATAAAGTAAAAAAATGCCTAAGTAAAAATATAGAAGAATGTGCATAAAGATGCACTGATCAAGTCACAAAAAAACTAGGGTGTTATTCTCTAAGAATGTTAGGAGAAGTATGAAGGAACAACTCTTAAGCATGTCAGGATTTATAGAAACCACATTTTCTTGGCCGGTACCTGGGAGTCCCTTTAACTGGTAGGGCGCCTAGAAGAGGAGATTATCAGTACATTATCGATCAAGTTAGTGCTAAACTTAGAGCCTAGAAAGACAACAATATTGCTTTTGTAGGTAGAATTACTCTTGCAAAAAGTGTCACTGAAGCCTTACCTATCTATCCCATGATGACTACGATGATACCAAAGGCTTGTTTGAAAGATATTCACAAGCTCCAAAGGAAGTTCATATGGGGTGATACAGAAAACAAGAAGAAATTTCATGTTGTGGATTGGAAAATGGTTACTAGACCGAAGAATGAGGGTGGTATGGGGATTAGAAATTTAGAGATTATAAACAGGGCTTGTTTAACTAAATTAGGGTGGCAGCTTCATAACGGAAATGACAAACTATGGTGCAAAGTGGTGCTGGGAGAGTATAGGCAAGAGTCCATAAATGGTAGCATCATGACTAAATGCTCGTTTTCATCCTTCTGGAAGAACGTGGGAAAATTATGGACTAAGGTGGAGGAACGTAGCTTGTGGCAGATTAGAGATAATGCTACTATTAGTGCTTGGAATGCAAAGTGGCTTGGTCACGACTTACATATTTTAGATCTAGATGTGAGTATACCTGGTGATCTCAGCAATGCGAATGTTTCATATCTCATACAATCTGATGGTGATTGGAAATGGGAAATATTACGTCATTGGTTGTCGGAGAATGTTCTTAATAGAATCGTAGGTACGACTCCTCCCTCATCTGATTCTGGGAAGGATTAAATAGTGAGTTTTGACATGCATGAGAAGTTGTTCAATGTTGGATAAATGTGCAGCTTTTAGATGAGGAAAACAACCAAGTTAAGGATGAAAAATGGAAGACTATTTGGAAGATTCATGCAGCGGAAAGAGTGAGAATGTTTGTCTGGATACTCAATCATAATGACCTTATGACAAACACTAGAAAACACCAAATGGGGTTGTTAAGTGCAATGTGTACCTATTTTGGAAATGGGGAAGAATATGCTTTTCATGTGCTTAGATATTCACTGCTACAAAACACGCAAACAACAACGCCAGGTTTACAACGGAGTCATATACACTGTTGTAATAGTGCAAACTGGATGCACGCATTTTTTAATCTTATTAAAATGCTTTTAATCACAGTTAAAATCCCAATCATGGTGAAATGTGAGGCCTTTCACCACACTTATTTAAAAAACCATGATTATATGTAGCGTCTGGTCATGGGTTCAAAATCCCAGCACCAACATTTATGGTTTTTTTACTTATTTTTCAAAATGCTGACAGCCTTTCAACATTTATAGTCTTTCACCCGGTTTTAGGGAAAATCGTCTCCTTTTTAAAATCTGTTTCGTGCATTCTGAGCAGAAAAATCATGCGATCATTTATCCCGTACTCTAGAAGAGTTACAGGTTTTTACCCTCAAAACCCCAAATTCATCTTTTTTCTATTTTTAATGATATTTTTACTGTTTTCATAGTCTCAAAAAATTCCAAAAAGAATCTCAAAAATCTTATTTTACTTAATTAGATTAAATTTTGTGTTTTTTTATTTTTCTGAATTTATTTTATATGTTACTTCTTTCTTGTTTTTTTCAAAATGCTGACAAACCTTTCACCACTGATATTTAAAAAACTGTGATTATAGGTAACATTTTTTACTTATTTTTTCAAAATGTTGACAGACCTTTCACCACGAGTAAAAAAAACCGTGATCATAGGTAGCGTCTAGTCATGGGTTCAAGTCTCAGCACCAACATTTTTGGTTTTTTACTTATTTTTTCAAGTCCCATTACCAACATTATGGGTGGCGCGCTTATTGAGTTTATTCACTATCCTTAAACAAATCTTGGTCGTCCAATTAGTAATTATCAACGCCCAAGACACTACTATTAGTGATCCGCGTGAAACCTAAATTTTAGACGAACTACATCTTCTACCTCCAAACATAATCTTTCATTTACGATACTCTATTTCTCCACTAAACCAAATTTCATAACAAATTTCAGAACTCCATCATCTCTTCTACAACTTGAATGACAGAAGGAAAGTATGGATTCGAGTTAGTAATGTTAGTTGTTGGTGTTCTTTTTTAATTATTGTTGTTCTTATTGTTCTTGTTGCCATTAATGTTAGTGTTATTGTTTTTGTTGTTGTTATTGTTGTTGTTGTTGTTGTGGTTGTTATTGTTTTTCTTATTCTTATTGTTGTTCTTGTTGTTCTTGATGTTTTTGATGTTCTTATTGTTCTTGTTGTTGTTCTTGTTCTAATGCTGCAATTTTTATTTTATTTCATTAAAAGACATACAACAACGGTTATTTAAAATAGCCGTGATTATAGGTAGTTCTAATGCTGCATTTTTTTTTATTAAAATACATACAACAACGGTTATTTAAAATAAATGTGATTATATATAGCGCGCTTTCTAGTTTATTATAACGCTTATTGGGTCGTGATTGTAAGTATCATATATACAACGACACTCTACATAACAACGCATGTACCCGTGTCATTATATATCTTTCACAACCATTGTTAAATGAGTTTTTCATAGTAGTGGTTGCCCGTTAACTATGCCGCTTTGGCTAGCGGCGGTGAACACTAACATGCAAGTGTTAGTTTTTGAAGGTGATTTTATGTATTGGATAGAGAATAACTTGAATCATAATATGGGATGTGACTCAAATGGTGTCTGAAAGTCTTTTTGGGCCATTGCTTGCTATAATCTATGGCGCTGGCATAATAAAGAATTTCATGTTGAGAATTATTTAAGACCTCCAAATATGAAGGATCACATTCATAGGCAAGTTTGTGAGTATGCTCAGGCAACAAGGTTAGACTTGACAGCAAATGATCATTATAAGAAGGAGTTATTAAATGGGAATCTCCTAGTATGTAGAGGATTAAGCTGAATACTGATGGAGCCAAAGATTTGAGGGGCATCGTGGATTATGGAGGAGTCTTAAGAGGAAATGAAGGGGAATGGCTTGGAGGTTTTTCTAAGCATATAGGAGTGTGTGGTGTTTATACATCTGAGATGTGGGGAGTGTTAGAATTCCTTAATCTTGCTACAAGTTTGGGGTTCTCTAAAATTGATATTTATGTGGATTCTAGTCAACAAGGTTAGACTTGACAGCAAATGATCACTTCTAGCCATACTAGCAATGCCATAGGTGGAAACCTTGTTATCAAAGTTAGGTCCTTTTTTCAACAGGATAGAGATATTCAAGTAAACCACGCTTATAGGGAATCTAATATATGTGATGATGCTCTTACAAAATAAGAAATTCATCAGGCAGGAGGAATTTGTTTGCTCAAGGATTGTCCAATGTCTATTAGACATTTGTATAAGGAAAATTTATCTGGTAATCCCATTACCAGGTGTGTTCGGTTATAGTTTCTTTTTGCCTTAGGCCCTCCATTGTACCAAAAAAAATACTATTGTTTTGTAGTAATGTTGTAAAAACCGGACCGAACAGGTTGGTTCAATCGATTAGACCGAAAACCAGAGTTGAATACAATTCAGCCAACTTTAAAAAAATCACTAGTGGGTCAAATCCAAAGTAAAATAAAAAAATAGATTGAACCATTTAAAGTTGTTCAAACCAAAGAGTCGAAGTCGGTTATGTAAAACCGCCGGTTCAAAAAATGCATCAAATTAACCATTTTAAAAAAAAAATTGATGAGTTTAATATGTAAATATCAAATTTTAAAACATCCTCATTTACAAAAAAAACAAAAAAACTCCTCCTTATTTTTTCTACAATCACACAATATTTTAAGTTCTATCACTCTGTTATATTAGTTTTTTTCGTTCAACCACTCTTCATCATCATCTTGTTGTAATTTTTCAACATATTCGCATTGTCCAACTCAATATTGTTTTTCATTGTTCAATTATGACTTATTTATCATCATTCAACTCAATATTATTTGTCGTTGTTTAATTATGATTTGTTTGTCATTGTTCAACTCTTTTTTTTTTGTTTAATTAAATATATTTTTATTATTCTATTCTATATAATTTAGATATTCTAAATTATTTGAATTTTAAATTACTATGAAATGAAAGTTAAAATTAGTATAATTTTGTTGTTTTATTATATATACTATGTTTATAACAGATTTTTAAAATATTTATTTTATTAAATTATGAAAATATGATTGTATAGAACATATATATAAAATTTAGATTTGCATTATTAATTTATTTAATAAATTTTAGGTATAATCAATTTAACCAATTGAATTTTAAATTGAAAATTTCATTGGTTCGACCCCTATTCAATTTTTAAAACATTAAAAAAATATATTGTTACCATTTTTTAAAATTGTCCAGCTTTCTTCAAAATTAGGGAAGATAAAAAAAATCTAACTGACTTAATTATACATATAATAAAGATTTAATATAATTTCTTCCCACATGTGCTCGTAACATTGAAATATTTTAATTAAATATTTTATTTAATAAAATATTCAATGGTATTATAGGCGAGATAAAAAGTTTAAAAGTAATTGTACTTTTATCGTCTTCAAAAGGACTAATTGTGTTTTAAATAGAAATAGGAGGCAAAAGAGTAATAAATTGTGTCGTTACTATTTTTTAGAAGACAAGATCAATTTTTTTAAAAGTATATCTCAATTGATCTAAGAGACACAATACTACAATACATGTGTCTTGGAACACAAATAATTGCACTTTTATCGTCTTCAGAGGGACTAATTGTGTTTTAAAGACCGTTCAATAGTTCTATTATTATAAGAATGATTTATTAGTTTGTTGAGTGTTTGTGAATACTGAAATGTAAGAAAATAGAAAATAAAACGAACTTTGGTGTTTAATAGTTAAAAAAAACTTGTTGTAGTTAGATTTTATTGACCTATTTCCATGTAGCATCCTTAATCAATAATATGCAATTCCAATTAGCTATTAATATTACCCCCTAAAGTTCTCATATCATCTTCTGTTCAAGTCAACAAAGTGAATTCAGTCGTATTATCTAATAAATGATCTCGCATTCTCTTAACCAATACGTCAATATTAAGTTTCAACAGTTATTGTGAATATTGAACTTAAATCTATGTGTATAATTTAACATATCCAATATATGAAAGACATGAATCTTGTAATGACTATTACATTTTGAATATCAAGTCATACCATAAAAACATGTTTTATGTAGCTAATCCAAAACATGCATTACTAAAAAATAACTCATCAATATTAAAGCTTAAAAAAAATTACATAGAACGTTATGGTCATAATCAAAACATGAGTCCTATGATAGCTACATCTAACCCCCAACAAAAGATAAAATTAGATACATTTACTCCGCATAGCCTTACACTTAAGCTCCATAAGAGAGAAGTTGAGAAGCATCTATCGACGATTCCTTGGACAGTGCTTCTACCAATAACCTCTCTCTCTTTTTCTCTCATTTTGTGTTTCTCACTCCCTACTGAGATAACTACACCAAGCCCTAAGAAGACTTCTCTACCAATTCAAAATATATTACAAGATATAAAAATGAGTTGCTTGAACCTCTATTTATAGTAGTATGTCATTGTCATTCTCGCTAAGTGAGTTTTAAACCTTGCTAAGTGCCCCTACACATTTTATCCTTTAGCAATGTCAGCTCATGTACAACTTTTCTTGTCCACCTTCATCTCGCTTAGTGCACCTCCGTTCTGCTTAGAGAATTAACCCTTTCTTCACCCTAAAGTAACTTAACCTTAAAGCTTTTTGACACACCATATCTC